CTCTTGGCATGGTGTGTTTGTATTCACCTGTATGGGTAACACCACACTGACCAGGTTTCTTATTTATCTGAGTGCCACCCAAATGCTTTCCTAAGAATCTTTCCTTTGATTGGTTAATTTGGTACCCATCTGAATCTACTTACCCACTTGATTTAACCAATGCAACCTGGGGTTCACGTATTTTCACACTTTCATTAATTCCTTTTTAATTTTGTTTTTCTACCACACGCATGATTTCCTCTAAACCAACATTTGGAATTGGTAAATAAAAACCTTTTATGTCAGATAAAAAAGACTGTTTGTTCTTAAATAAACATTTCATATTAAAAAGAAGTAGATGTGTCCCATTTATACATAGCATCTCCTTTTCCCCCACTTGCAGAAAACTTGTTAGATAAAACCAAAATCAGACAAAAGCTCAAACTCACACAGTCTTATTTTATGGATAAATCATGTTGTAATTGCAAAGTTCAGTTGTGTAAGATTTTCCTTTTTTATATTTGTATAAGTCAGTATATCAGATCCAGGTCATGGCCCTGGTATTAGTGCAAATGGTATTGGTGTAAAAACCTTTCCACTGAAAGACTGATTTTTGCAATATTTATCAAACACTTCCATGTACATTTGAGTTCTAAATCATGTCCTGGAAGCCAAGGGCCTGTCTCTGCCAAAGCTTTATTTTACAGTGAACAGAGAGAGACAAAAATGTAAAAAAAATCTGATTATTTTCCTCACAGATGGAGCACTGATTACTTTAAGACATCACCAATCATGCAGAGAAAGGAGACAAAAGCAAGGCCTGCTCTTCCAGCAAGCTACCCTCCCCTAGCAGGCCCAGCGAACATCTCTACTTTCATCTGCTCTCATTTTGACTGACTGTCTGCCCGCTAAAAAGACAGGAAAATGGGATGGATTTCTGTCAAAGTCCAGCCCTGGCGGTTTTTCCTCATTGTCCAGCACTCTGCTCCAACAAGCTTGTGACCCTGCGCAAACGCAATTGTCCACACCAATCCCATCCTGTGTGACAAACCCAATGTGTCTTGTCAATGGTTCGAGTCCTGCATGGCATATTGGGATTAAGTGCCTCCAGAAGCATACATATCTGATTTTGAAAGAGGTATTTTTTTGCAGCATCTTTTCCACAGACAATAGAGAGAAGGAGAGAAAGAGAGAGAGCACCTTCAATAAAAGAAAACACCTTAAAGAAATCTTTTGAGGAGCCTGCGTAATTCCCAGCACTCTGGGGGCTCAGTCAATGTCTGCCACCCACTGTGTTGCCGGCATGCACAGGACAGGCAGAGGGCTTTTTAGAACTAATTCCTCCTGAAATCTGGCAGCAGAAAATAGCTTCATGATTCAGATGGATTTATTTCGCCTCTAGAAATATCCAACAGAGGGAAGAAAGAGAGAGAGAGGGAGAGAGAGCGAGAAGGAGAGAGAAAATGGTTCTTTTGTAATCAGCTTTTAAGAGCTCCTTGAACTCTTGATAAGGTGGATTTATTGGCATTTGCTCATAAAATGAATGAGAAGTCAAGAGTGGTTTCCAGAGTGGTTGTTCATAAATGTGTAAGCTCTGCATAAACCTTTGGTGTCTGCGTGAATGCCGAGTTTGCTTAGAGACCTGGTGTAAATAGACACTCCATCAGGATATGTGATAACTGTGCAAACCTCTGTAAGACACACCTAAAGACAAACCAGCAGGACACAATGGTCACTGAGCACCTCCACAGCCATTACACTTTCCAACAGCAGCCAAGTCTGGAACAGAGATGGAGAGAGACGGCTGAGAGCAGCAACAGTCAGAGGCAGAGCAGAGCCACATTCAGAAACATAAGGGAGACGGGTAACATGGACCAAGATCAAGATGCACAGCCAAGCCCAGCCGAACCAGGAAATGTGTGCGTCCTTCCAAAGGCAGCTGAACTGACTAGCCTGTGATAGAGACTTTGACAAGGTTTATGTTCACCAAATCATGAGGGGAATGTGTAGACTGTTTCCATGGTGAACAGCATCTGCAACCAAACCTGAAATTAAAATGCATTTCATTCATAATGCACTAAGCAACACCAGCATCACATGAGACTACATACAGTACAAGCTTCCTCAAGACAGTTGGATAACTATTCAGAACAGTACAGTACAGTACCACTCCAAAATGCTAAATGGGAGGAAAGTCATTCCCCACTGTGCTATCGTTCCTTAAAACTAATTCAGAACATTGTTATTTTTCCCAGAGGCCAGCTACCTCCGTTATTGTTTTACAGTCCTCCATAAGAATAGCCTGTACTTATCACTTCCCTGTCCACATTAAACATTCAGTAGATAATCCACCCAAAGCTGCCCAGAGCATGAACTGAGTTCAGCCTTCTAACTCATTACATTACATTGATATTGGTGTTGGACCTTCATCCCAAAATTTCAAAATTTTGTATGTCTTGCAACAAATTCAGTAGCTCACATAACTTCAAGTAGAGAGGAGGTGCTGTTCAGCAGCTGGAAGCTCTCATTGGTGCCACCTGTCTAGTGGTAAAACAAATGTGCTGCTGCTGCTTTGGGGGGCAGCTGCTCATTCAGCTATTTAGTCAGAGAATGAGGGACTACAGTGTCCAGGGTGCCAGAACAAAACTCCCACATTAGATAACTGATTTTTGAGCAATTATGACCTTACAATTCTTGAGCCATTCTAGTTCAGGGGTACATATTTGTAACGTGAAGTACAGCATTTGCCTTTTTGTAAATGCCACAGAATCTTCTGAATTGTAATTATTCTCTAAAAAATAAAGTGAGAAGCATTGATTCTGATCATCCCCAATTATCTGTGTTCCCAGGTCTCAAGACTAAGATTTCTCAGCTGTGTACATCTGTAAACAGTGGCACCAAAACAATCTCAATCTTCTTGTATACATTCACACATACCACTACTATTTTCCACACTATGAGTCCCACAATGCACCAAGAAGCAGACACCCATCAGAGGATAGGTGCATCTCCTTGATGCTATCTCAGCAACTCATAGGTGCCTGAGTGAGTTGCATGGTGCTGACAGCAATGGTATGAGGACACCCTGGCCGACCTGCCCACCCCCGGCCCGCATGAAACGAAGCCAGTTTCTTCAGCTGCTGCGGGCTCCAGGCCACTGTCCCAGACTGTAGGGCTCATCTTGCGCTTGTAACAAATGTCTGGGCCACTTGGGGGAAAAATTGATCTTACCAAAAAAAAAAAAAGAAAATACAAATTGTTTGATGAAAATACAAACACATTGGTCCTTCAGTCTTCCAGGAAAGGGGCATTTAAGTTAATAAATAAGGGGTCAGCTGAGCGTTGTGTTTGTATTTCATATGAAGTGAAATAATGCCCTTATGTATGAAATTTGATACGCTCATACCGAGAGCACAGCCTCGGGGGGTGACATCAGAGGGGGGGAGGGTTCCGTGAGAGCTGATTGGATGAGGCCCAGTCTGCCACGTGGGACCTGTGATGTCTGGCCCTTGCGTGCAGCAGACAGCACGTGTTGCTGCTACATTAGGAACAGGTGCCGAGACAGCATCCCATACCCCGTCACTAACGGAAACAAACCCTCTCTCCCTCTGCCCCCCCCCATTGTTGCATAGAAAAGAGGATTAAAGGTTAGACTTATGAATGGAGACAGTTCCGTTTTGACTTGGGCTAGCTCCAAAATTGAAACACTTAATGGAAAAAAAATCAAATGAAATAATTTTGACACGTGTGAGGTCAATTTGGGATCTAGCAGTGCACCAGCTGTTGTACCAAGCTGAAGGCTGCACAGAGCCATGGAAGAACAGCCAAAATCACAAAACACAAATATTCAGCTCTCATTAATTTAACGGTGGAGACAGAGTTCTAAAGAAGCGCTTTCATTCTATTAATGTACATTTATTTGTAGGCTGTCTAATGATGTTTAACACACACACACACACACACACACACAACTTTATAATCCAAACCTTTCTGTAGTGACTTTTCCTTGAGGGTAGAATGTATTTAACACACTTATTTTCCTTGTCATTGCAGATCTCTCCTCTTCAGCTGACCCTGTCTACTTTTTTAACATCTGTGATGGCACTGAAACAGCTACAGACTGCCCAAGGCTACAGGATAAATGTTACCTTCAAATATCTAGAAATTTTCACTTATTTTATGTCTTCCTATAATCATACTGACAAAAAATAAATGATTTGTTTCCCTTTAACAATTCCCTTGAACAATTAGGCCAAAATACACTGACTAATTACTCAAACAGTTCTGTTTCTCTGCCAGCTGATCAGCATGTGTGCCAAAGTTCTCACAGACAGCCCTGATTTTTGTCACAGCTAATGGCTGATTCGTTATCAGTTCTGTAAAATTCAGACACAAATGCACACCTACAGAGTCACAGCTACACAGATCAATGTGTGGCACACAGTAAGGGTGGAAAGGAATGAGCAGATAATAAGAAGGCTCTGCCCCTCAGAAGCTGCTGCGCAATGTCATGGACACAGTACCGAACAGCTAAATATCACACCTGAGACACACACACACACACACACACACACACACACACACACACACACACACACACACACACACACACACACACACACACAACAGCTTTTCCAAGCACAGACCTCCACCAAAGACACTTCATGGAGCCAGCATGTCCAACTGTACGTACTTACAGAAATTTAAGTAGAATTTCACACTCTGTTGCATTACCACAACCAATATTTCATCATACCCAGACGAAGGCACTCCTTGATGGTTCTCATCAACTTGATGTCAAGATTTCACTACTGTTCTATTTTAAAACCCTGAGGAGTTGACTGGCTGCAACTCCTTAAACTACAGACACATATTTCGTAAATTACATTACATTATTGTCATTTAGCAGACAATGTTATCCAGAGCAACTTATGTAGGTCACATTTTTATACGTTATCCATGTATACGGCTGGATATTTACTGAGGCAATTCTAGGTTAAGTACCTTACCCGAGGGTACAGTAGCAGTGCCTCAGCAGGGAATCGAACCAGCAACCTTTTGGTTATGAGCCCAGCTCCTTACCACTAGGTTACACTGCTGTATATATGGACGTAATGTCTATGTTATAGATGTTCTGTTTTAGACCAGGCTGCTTTGAGAATGTTCATAATGAGCCAGCAAATTAGAACACTTGTAGAATCCACAATGGCAGAGAACGAAGATGTGGAATGCACTGAGCCAACTCCCTGTTCCATGAATAAAAACCAAAAAACCTGAGTTAGAGCTCCCAAACATCAGAACTCCAGAACTAAACAGCAGAACTCTTTCACCACAGGAACAGTGCAATGTGCTTAGCCCCCTGTTAGCTGTCTCTATCTAGCCTGTGCAGTGCAGAGAGGGGTAAAACTTCAGCTGAATTTAAAGTGTTTCCTATACGGAGCAGAGCCAGCCTGAAATATTTCACACAGTAATAAAGAGTGAGATACGTGGGAACAGATCCTTTCTGTTTGATTCAAAAGGCAGATATTTTCAACAGTCTTTCGAGAAGGGAGGGGAGAGAGATGAGAGCAGGAGGGAGGGAGGGATAGAGGAAAAAGGGAGACTCAGAGAGAACACGAGGCCCTGCGGAGTGAACGAGATCTGGCGTGGTAATCTCCCTCTTCCCAGTTGAGGGGGTGAGGTTGGATACGTCAAGCATTAATGTCTCACCCTTAATGGCCGCCCTCCACATTCACATGCAAATGGGCTGTTCTGCAGGAAGGCAAAGCCCTCCTGTGTCTGCCCCAGCCGCACCGCACCGCACAGTGGACTCACAGCACCCTCAGACCACCTCGGTCTCCAGCCATAGTGTCAGTGTGGTCTGCAACTGTGCGCAACTGGCACAAAGCAGAATTTGGGGGGGAGGGAACCGTACCCACCATAGCAGATTAAACATCAGTGATCTCTCGCTTTGGCACGATCGCTGTCCTCCTAATGCAGCCAGCCCGACATTGGCGTGTCGGGCGATGTAATTACTGTCTGTGAGTTTGGTGTTTCTTTTCCCTTCTTTTTTGCTTTCTGCCAGTTTTAGACCTGGTTCCCGCATTTCATCCTCAGAGCAAATCCATAATGTTCAACACACGAGTCACTCCTCCCTCAATGAGTGTCTACACATGTGTATGTGTACATATGTATGTATGTATGTGTGTACATTTGTGTATGTGTGCATGTGTATTTATGTATGTCTGTGTGTATATGTGTATGTGTGTCTGTATGTGTAAGCGTATATGTGTGTATGTGTGTGAATATGCATGTGTGCTGGGAGAGTGAGTACAACGCTTGCAGAGACATGCTCTGAGGTCTGCACACTCGCCGCGTTTGTTTTGGACGGCCACCTGTTTGCCGTAGCGTGATAGGAAGACACCCTTCAGGCTGTTGCCGGGTAGGAGATCCCCCACCCCTCTGTCTGATTGGTCCGACTCCTCACTGTGCCAATGCCCCCGCCCCTCCCTCCCTCCCTTCCAGAGAAATGACAGGCCTTTGCTGTAGAGACTGTGAGTGAGTGAAGATTTCGTCCGAGGCAGATTTGAAAAGTTTGCTCTCCCATTGTTCTGTCATCATACTCATTCTGTCTTGGGCACCCAGGGGTCTTAGCTGAGGGCAGAGCGCTTCCAGAGGCAGATGCAATTTAAACACAGCTGGAAAAAAGGCAGATAACCAGCAGTTACCATACATACTGACAACAGGGCGGTCAAGGTCGATAAGACCATTCTGGAAAGGGTCATTCTCTACCTCACCTGATCACTCGTGATACAGAAAAAAGCTCCACCTGTTTCCTACACAGATAGGGCTAAACAGATAGTTTTAAGTTTTTTGTCTCAAACATGGTGCAGTGGTTCCTATTAGGGTTACAGGGGTACATATGGCATTTACTGGGTTCACATAGCATCAGATAACAGTGTACTGAAGTACCAGAAAAATTACAATAAAAGAAAACAGTGTACCCTCAGCATTCAGGTAAATGCCGACACATTTCACCGCTAGACACAGGCTTGTCTTCAGACAGGCGAATGGTTTTATGTTTTAATAACTTTTTTGTGATACACCGGAGTGCTCTTAATTAATCTGAAAGTGAGTGTTCAAAGGAGAGTACTGTCCCTAAACAAACACAGCATAAGGTGCTGAGTCTTTATGCATTTTCATATTCAATATCTTAATCTCCTAGCAGTGCTGGACCACAGGAGGTAGGCAATTCATCATGGCCATCATGTGACACATTCAAAACAGCTCCTGTTTGGCTTCAGAATTCCCCGCAACATGTTATAAAGACCTGATAAAAGACAAGCAGAGAAAGATACAACTGAATACTACAGCTTTTGTGCTTACATATTGTGCTTTACATAATTGAAACTTGTATTCATCAGCAAGATATTCAAGAAGCTCAAAAAGCTATTTCTTCACACACTGTATTTATTGCTGATCTTAAACTTTGGACTCCCAAAGTTAACCCAAAGTCAAGGTCAAATGACATACTAGGAATGTCTTAAAATGACAAGAGAGGTGTGCACGCCCCTGTTTTTACCTTTGTCCAATGAAAATCCGAACATGTTTTTTTTTTTTTTTTTTTTTTTGTTTGGTTTTCTCACGTGCGACCTCTGCTTTCTCTTCCTCCCCCCACGCAGAAGCAAACACAACCCTCCAGAGCTATAAAGGCCACATGATAACACACCAACATGGCCACATGATAACACACCAACATGGCGAGAAGATAACACTCAGTGCCAACTCTAATTTATCCTTTATGTTGCCGGCTGAAACACAAACCTTTGCTCTGAAAGGAAGCACAGGCAAAGGTGGATTCCTCCACATGGTTGGGGTGCTCCCTTTACAGCCTGGGGGTGTGGTTCACGCAGATGGTCAGACCGCATGAACATCACCTTACCATGAACCCATTAGTATTCCACTGTGCTCCTCCTCTTCTCCCTGACATATACTACAACAACATTTAAAAAGTTTTTTTTTTTGCGAAGAGTGCAAGAAATCCAATGACCACTGTAAGAGTTTTTCAATGCATCGCAGATAAAGCAGAAATTTTAATCTGTTGCAGCTCTGCTCAGCAGCAAGCTCAGGGGGAATTCTTGAAGAGGACGCATATTTCTGCTGAGGTGCAGCCCCAGCCTCCTCTCTCTGACCTCAGGCCAAAACAGCAAAAGAATGCAGAGTGCCTTGACTTCCTGCCATCCGGAGCTACGCACTTGGAGCCAGACACTCTCCAGCTTTAAAAACAGGCCTCGCACAGCACACCAGCCTGACAGCATTTCCCAGCAGCACCCAAAGCCATCTACACCTACTACAGGCGCAGTTTATCCTTATTAAGAGTGACACAGATGGATACTGTAACTATTCAGAAGTAAAGGCCAACTAAATATCAGCATCAGTTAATTAATCAATCAATTATAAAAAATTAAAACAAGAAAGGGATTACAATAATATTTAACTTAGTACAGAAATTGAAAATATTTTCTCATTCATAATGAGATTTAACACTTTCTGCAGCCAGTTGAGATGATGGCACCAACGCAGCTTTTATTGCACATTAATAACACTGTTTGATCTAAACACACACACAAAATCACACACAAACACATGAAAAAATTCTTTTGTAGCTAACATTTTTAACTGACACAAGATTTAATTTCATTTAGCAGAGTTAGCTTTGATATAAAATGTTTTGAAAAAGAATAAAAGCAGTAAGATCTTGAAATGAGACACATTTTTAGCAATGAAAACACGCCAAGGTGACGTAAACACTGCTGCTTGACTAACACTAAAGATGGATGTGTGTCAGTCACGTGCCATAAAGCCACCGGTGGACTCCACGCAGATCCCACCCTGCGGTACACTCGCGTGACAAGCTGCCCGTGAACACAACCTTTGATTAACTCTAAGCAAACTTTAACCAGAGCATGAAACAGACTGAGCCATGACTGGAATAAGAATGAGGATGGGGTCAGAATTCACACACACACACGCACACACACACACACACACACACACACACACACAACGTAAACAGACAAATACACACAGGCATACATACACACAAACATACACACACACGAAAACATTCATACACACACATTCACGCACAAACATACATACACACACAGACACACACACAAACACATACACACACACAGATACAACGTACTCACACTCACACACACAAACACACACACACACACACAAACACGAGTTTTCCACACTTTTTGCAGACAGCAGACAATCAGACAGCTTCAAAACCACCTCAGCAGAGGGGTGAGACATCACCTCTGTGACCTCTGTGGGTCAGCTTATTTGTTGCCAGTGCCCAGCGGGTGAACCGTAGTGTGCTGGCAGAGCAGAGAGTATCTATACCAGTGAGGAAGAGGAGGCTCCTGAGAGAGCATTCCGGACCGTTTCCTGGCTCCCTGACATGGCTCAGCAGCAGGAGCAGTGAAACCAGGGGCTGAAAGGATCAGCTTGACCACGAGGACTCTGTGGCCCCCTGGAAAATTATATGATTCTACCTCAATCTAAAGGTCGCCACGTCTAATCTGAGGAAAGAATGGAGACGCACCACAGTTCCACCGAAGCAAGAGGTGGAATTCCTGCCCATGCTCCCCCCCCCAACACCCACCCACCAGTCACATGATCACTCCTCCCCACCTGCTCCATCGTTCAATGGAAGTGAAAGTGTTCTCATGCAGATGTGAAAACACTGGAGGATGACCCCTGTACAGAGAGAGAGAGAGAGAGAGAGAGAGAGGGAGGAAGACAGAGAGAGAGAGAGAAAGAGAGCAGGAGGGATCAATTGGGAGATTCTTCCAACTGTGAGGAGATACTAGCCCAGACAATAAAGAGTTCATTATTAATCTAAGAAAGGAAGAGCAGGTTTACAGCAGAGTGCCTCTGGTCTTGGGTGCAGACACTAAAGAGACACAATTTCCTTTAATCTACAAACTTCATAGATTGTGTTTGGTACACTTTTCTGTTACCCCTCTCATAGCCACTGTCCTTGACTGAATAATAGTCTGGGGGCTGCAAGATTTGAGGACGGGGGAGACTGGGGTCAAGTGAT